CACTCTTCTCTTTATCCTCCTGAAATAGATGAGACTTCAGAATTTAGGCATAGTGTCTATAGCTTTAGCTTCCGTTGTGCCATTTAGACAATTGCAATAACATATATCAAGCTAATATTAAGCTACAAATCCCCTGTAATGTGCCAACTAATTATATCAGTAGCTAGTAACTCCTCAGAAGGCCAACTTTTTGTGTATTCAATTTAGAGTTTCACATGGTATGACTTTGAACTTAGAATTTTCTTTGGCTAGATTTTAACCTGTTATGCATGAACAAGAACATTATAAAACATTTAATAAGCTTCTTTAAAATTAAAATTTAAAGCCAACCTCACAAATGTAGAATGATCTTTACTTTTGCCTTTCTGCATCCAGATGGGAAAGGAGACTAATTAATCTTCCCAATCTTGGCTTAAAGAGCCATGAGACCATTTGAGGACATTGTCTCACAGAGAGTATAGTTGTCAGGGAGTTTAGCTGAGCTACTCCATAATATTGCTGCCTTGGTATCCATTTTGTGTGTCCAAGCAACCTACAGGGGCCTTGAGTTGACACTACGCACCCGCCTCCCCCCCCCCTCCCCCAGGAGCACATGTCCTAGATAACAGACACAGAGTCACAAGTAAATGTAAATTCCTGATCTGACTCCACTGAAGGCCCTTGTGATAAACAGTCTCCCTCTCTCCTCTTAAGGCCTTCACTTTGTGTGCCCTTTAGATAAGACTTCTGTGAAGCTTACCCAAACTGTGCTCCTTCTGGTTTAAACTGGCAATTCTGGCTTTAGCCTGGGAACCCCAAAGCATCCTACTCACTGACTCAAATAAAGGCATTTGATCCAGGTCATGCCACTCTCTATTCCTGCACCCTGCCTAGACCTCCCTGCACGGACCTTCAAGACATGTTGTGCACTTCCTCCAGGACTTGTGAGTAATAAACTTTTCTATTGCAATTTTCCTTGCGGTCTTCTACTGAACTTTGAATAACCATGTGACACCCAGGGCTCTAGTAACCTTGTGTGTGTGTTTATTAATTTAACAGTCACAACACGTGGCTATACTAATATCAGAAAAAAATAGAACAAGAAAATATTACAAATATAAAGAGGGGCATTTTATAATAAAATAGTCCATCCACCAGAAATATATCACAATTCTAAATATATGTACAACAGAGCCTCAAAATACATGAAACACCAACTGTCAGAATCAAAAAAAGAATTTGACAATTCAACAGTAATAGTTGGAGACTTCCATATCCAACTTTCAATAATGGATAGAACACTCAGACACATTAGTAAGAATTAGAACACTTGTACCACACTATACACCACCTAGGCCTAACACAGATATTTATAAAGCACTCTGATCAACAACAGAAGAATGCAAATTCTTCTCAAGGGCTGGAACATTCTGTGGAAGAGACCATATGCTAGGCCATAAGACAAATCTCAACAAATTAGGAAGAATTGAAATCATAGACAGAATGCTCCTTGATAACAATATAGTAAAATTAGAAATTACGAACAGAAAATTTTTTTGGAAATTCACAAATATGTGGAAATGAACAACACATTTCTAAATAACCAATGGACAAAGAGGACATAAAAGATTAATTGGTAAAAACTTTGACAGAAATGAAATAACAAAAGTTGTGGGACTTAGCTAAAGCAATCTTAGAAGGAAACTTAGAGATTCAATGCATTAAAAAACAAAAAGGAACATGTCAAATCAGTAACCTATTTTTCCACTTTAAAATACTTTGGGTGGAAATGGGAAGCAAACTAAATCCAAAGTATACAAAAGGAAGGAAATAATGAAAGAGAATTTAAAAAAAAAAATAGAGAAAACCAAGGAGGCTAAAAGTTTGTTTCTTAAAAAGAGAAACAAAAGCGATAAATCTTTAGCTAAACTGACCAAGAAAAAAGACTCACATTTCTAAAACTAGGAATGAAAGAAGAGATATTGCTATTGACCTTACAGCTATTAAAAGAATTATAAAGAAATACTATGAAAAACTGTAGGCCAAGAAATTAGATAACTTAGATGAAATGGACACAAATTATCAAAACTGACTCACAAAGAAAGAAAATCTGAATAGATTTATAACAAGAAATTGGACTCATAATTTAAAAACTACCCACAAAAACACACACACAAGAAACCTCAGGCCCAGATGACTTCATTGCGGAATTCGACCATTTAAAGAATTAATAGAAATTCTTCACAAACACTTCCAAAAATTAGAAAAGGAGGGAACACTTCCCAACTCATTCTACGAGGCCAGCATTATCCTGATATCAAAATCAGACAAAGACATCATAAGAAAATAAAACTACAGACCCATATTTCTTATAGATATTGATGTTAAAAATCCTAAGCAAAATACTAGCAAACTGAATCTAGCAATATATGAAAAGAACTAAACACCATAACTAAGTGGGATTTATATCAGGGATATAAGTGGGATTTATATCAGGAATTTTGGGTTGTCATCCAAAAATTAATATAATATACCATATCAATAGATCAAAGGACAGAAACCACATGTTCATCTCAATAAATGCAGAAAAAGCATGCAACAAAATTCAACATTCCTTCATGAAAAACATACACAACCACCTCAGAATAGAAGGGAATTTTCTCAATACTCGAAAGGGCATTAATGAAAAAACCTACACTCATTTCATACTTAGTGATGAAAGACTGAATCCTTTACCCCTAAGAACAGGAAAAAGACAAGAAGTGCAAAACTTATAATCTGAAAACTATAAAACATTGCTGAAAATTTTAAATAAATGGAAAAACATCCTATGGTAATGGACTTAAAGGTTTAATATTGCTAAAAGGGCAATACTCCGCAAATTGATCTATAGATTCAATGTAGTCTCTCGCAAAATCCCAGTTTGCTTTTTTATAGAAATTGACAAGCTGATTTAAAAATTGATATGGAGCCCTAGTCAATTTGGCTCAGTGGATGGAGCATTGGCCTGCAGACTGAAGGGTCCCAGGTTCAATTCTGGTCAAGGTTACATGCCTGGGTTGCAGGCTCAATCCCCAATGGGGGGGGGGGGGAGCGTGCAGGAGGCAGCTAATCAATAATTCTCTCTCTCCCTCTCCCTTCCTCTCTGAAATCAATAAAAATATATTTTAACATAAATAAATAAAAATTTATATGGAAATTCAAGGGTCTCAGAGTAGCTAAAACAATCTTGAAAAAGAACATAGTTTGATTTCTAAACTACAGTAATGAAGACAGTGTGGTATTGACATCAGAGGACATACCAGGTATAGATCAAAAGAACAGAACTGAAGATTCAGAGGGGTGGGGGGACCAAACTTTCTATATTTGTAAACAGTTGATTTGTGACAAGGGTGCTAAGACCATGCAATGATGAAAGAAGACTGCAACAAATTGTGTTGGGACAACTAGATGTCCACATGCAACAGAATGAAGTTGGAACCTCAATCTGACACTATATATAAAAATTAAATCAAAATCGATCAAAGACCTAACTTTAAGGAGCATGGATTTGATTTTACGTGCAGTGGGAAGCACTTGGAGGGTTTTAAGGAGAAATGGTTTGATCATATTTAGAAACTCAAGAGAGGATACAGGGAATTTGTTATTATAATCCAGGCAAGAGACAATAGAACCATGGATTAGGGTGTTAACTGTGGGAAAGGAAATAAGTGGTCAGATTCAGGATATGTTTTAGGGATAGAGCTCATGGAACTTGCTGATTGAGCACATAAGGAAGGAGAGAAGTGAGAGAGCGATAAAGAACTAAAATGTAAATTTTTGTCTTGAGCAACCAGATAGAATTCAGAACCTTTTACAGAGATGGAAAACTAGAAGAGGGAGAATCAAGAATTTTATTTTTGGGTCATGTTATGTGTGAGCTGTCTATTAGATACTCAAAATATGTCCGGCAAAGAGTTGAATTTATATGCCCAATGTTCCCAGAAGGGTCAGGACTGGAACGACAGGCATTTTGATGGCTTTTAAAGCCAAGATTGAGGTTATCTGAAGGAGTGTGTGGATATAAAGGAAAGGAGGGGACCACTACAGCATCATGCAACAAGCTCATGTCTGGCAGTCAAGTAGAGGAGTTTCAGCCAAGAAGTTTCAGAAGGAACAACAACAACAACAAAAAAGTAAGCGAGGCACCACCGCAGGGAAGACAAGAAGGCGTTTCATAGAGGGTGTGGTGATTGTAAATTGCTGCTGGCAGTCAAGTAGAGTGGCTACTGAGAAGAAACTAAGGGCTTTATTAACATGCAGATCACCAGTGTCCTAGAAAGGGCCTTTCAGGGGAGGGTTGGGGAAGTGGCCAATTGGAGTGAGTTTAGGAGAGAATGTGAGGTGAGAGGTGTAATGGCAACCATTTTCATTTGACTAATACTTTCTAGAGAGTGCACGTTTTGATTTGCATTTGTTCTCTTTTGACTTCTGATCTAGCATCTTTGTGATTATTGCATTAAAAAAACCCTGCAGAATAACATACATCCCAAAGTGCACTAATCTTAACATGTACAGCTCGATTGGCTTTTTACATTTGTGTATGCCCATGTAACTCATGTTCAGATTAAGACATAGAATATAAAGGGTACTTAATAAGGTTCCCGTGTGCACAGTTCCAGTCTATAATCCTCCAGAAGTAAACCAATATTCTGACTCACATATACATCCACTAGCTTTACCACAAAAATTTCCCCAAAAGAAACAAATGAAAACTCTGAAGGTCATTTAATCGGAAACTACGGTAGCGTAGGTATGAAATGACAATCAGTTGGCGCCAAATTCTGACGCATTACTTTGAAAAGCCTTCCTCTCCGACGCCCCGCCCACTTTCTACACCACGCCCCCTGTCCTTTTTTTTCCTGCCCAGCAACACAGGGGCACAACAGGCGGCGAGCGGAGACCGCTTTTCTGTCATGCGCATTAGGGACGGGCGCGCTTCCTTCCTTCCCCATTCAACCAACTAGGACAAGGCGTCCTCCCGCACATTGAGGGTCCACTAGGCGCGCGTGCGTCCTGCCGCGCGGTCTTGCGCATGAGCAGATCGGCCCGCGAGGGCGGAAGTGAGGAGCTAGTGCGCGGAGGTGGGGCCGCCGCGCTTGCTGCGGGGTGGGCGAGCGACCGACATGGCGACCCCCGCGAGCCCTCTAGCTCCCGTGGCAGTCCTGATGCTGTTGCTTTGTGGGGCTCCCTGGACCCACGGGCGGCGGAGCGACGTGCGCGTCATCACGGACGAGAACTGGAGAGACTTGCTGGAAGGAGAGTGGATGATAGAATTGTGAGCGCGGGTGGTTGTCTCGGGGCTCCCTCGGCGGGCTGGGCGGGCTGGGGTCCTAGGTCCGAGTCTGGGCACCCGACTTCACCCCCAGACCTCCTGCGGGGCCCAGGTTCCGGGGGGCTGCCGCTGCAGACTGCGGAACCCGCGCCCCGACTGCTCGGCGGACGCCGGCTGGTCCCACCCCCTCGCTTCTTACCGGCGAATATTAAGTTTCTTCCTAACGCGCGCGCTGGTTTCGTGTCCGGGGCCGTGGTGCGCCTGCGAGATTGCGTTTCGGTTCTCCCTTAACTTTAATTCATGGCTTTGGGGTGGGGTGCTTGGCGGGACTAGTTCCGTTAGTTATTTATCTTAGAGTGGTGCACAGACGGACTCACAGATTTATTGTCACCAGATTTCACAAAAGAGGAATTGGAGCAGAACCTCGCTTCTCCTTTTGTCTAATTGCCCTTAAAAGGTAGTCCATGTATCGTGTAGGAATTGGGGACTTTTTGTTTTACATCTTATTTTATGGATTAGGTATATTTTTTTTCAATGCCACGCACATTCAAGTTGGGTGAATTTTTTAAAAATCTTCAAATCTTCGTTCCCTTGACCATTTTTTCTTTCCTTTTCTCTTTCTACACCTCTCATTTCTTTTTTGCGTGTGTGTGTGTGTGTGTGTGTGTGTGTGCGCGCGCGCGCGCGCAGAGAACTGAATGTCCTGGGTGGTGACTCTCAATGCTCTCCTGGTGGTACTGCATTAAAGATAAAATTAATGTATGAGTGTGATTATAAACTCTGTTCGAAGAAAATCACAAGTCTGTGGTGATTCCGTTATAACGAGATGCCTTTTGCATCGGTAGAAAAGAACCTCTCTGCCTTTGCTTTAGTTTTTAAATTGGTGGTAGTGGTGGCATTATTACTGATATGATATTAGTTGCATTAGTAAAAAAAAAATTCCCCGAAAACACCGTTATTGAGTGTTAACTGTGTACTAGACACTGCTAAGCACTTTACATACATTATTGCATTTAATTCTCTGCAAATTCTATAAAATAAGTATTATTTCCCATGCTTTACAGTTGAGAGACAGATATGTCTCTGATCAACCTGTCCAGGTCCTGCTGTCCTGCGTCCTGTTTCCGAGCCTGGCACAGGGGAGGGTGCAGCAGTAGCTGTTAGAACACCTGCCCCCTTCGCCAGGTCTCAGTGAGTGTTTTCCTGCATTGTTGGGTTGCCAGTTTAGGACGCAGGTGCAAGTGGGCATCACTAAGGGAAAACCCATAATGCCAAGTCAGTAATTCCAGTCAAAAACCAAATGTTCCTTTATGTGGAGGGTAAGACAGGGGGAAATGTGTATAGTATGAATAAAACCAGTAATTCCGTGAAATTTATTTTCAGGCACCATTGATGTTTCAGGGGAGAGGAACTACAGCACGTTACAGTGTTTAGTTTTTTATTAGGAACTTGCTTTAGATTGCGTTCATGAAGTATTGTACCACAAATAATGTGTTAAACAATAGTGATTATGAACTTATATGCAAAAGATAAGTTCAGGCATTACTGAAGGAAATTTTTAGAAACTCAGTTTGATCCAGCTACATAAATACATCAGTCAAAAATGAAGTATAGGTGATTTGAATTAGAGCATCTATGTGAAATTAAGAGTGTACGATGGTAATTTTTTTCTCAGCTTACTAGTTTTGAGGCCGAGTCTTTAAAAAGCACTTAAAAAATAAAAAGGACTTGGTAAAGGGATCTAGTTAGTAGTACTAATGCTAATTATTACAAGTCAGTTATCTGTATTAAATCCATCCTGATCAGGAGTTTTGTTACAGAGATATTTTCATTGTAATATTGTGAGGAATTTTGGCTTTTATGTGTGGTACTAGTCTTATTCCAGAAAGCTGTTACTTTTAGGGGATTTATTTTTAATAAAGTAAGTCAGGTATTATATATAATGATGTACAGAAACTACTTTTGTGTTTAACAGGTAAAACCTGAGGCAAATTATAAGAGAATACTAGAATACAATAAAGTGGAAAAATCAAATGTTAGGGAAAAATCAGAGCCTTGAAAATGCTGAATACTCAAGGAGTAATTTAAATCCTAACATGGCCCTAGCTGGTTTCACTCAGTGGATAGAGCGTTGGCCTGCAGACCGAAGGGTCCCGGGTTCGATTCTGGTCAATGGCATGTACCTTGGTTGCAGGCTCCTCCCCGGCCTGGGCCCTGGTCAGGGCTCGTGCAGGAGGCAACCAATCTATGTGTTTCTCTCACATCCATGTTTCTCTCTGTGTTACCCTCTCTCTTCCACTCTCTTTCTAAAAATCAATGGAAAAATATCCTTGGGTTAGGTTAGGTTAAAAAAGAAAAATCTTAACATGCTTGATCATAGGTTTGGAAACTTGAGATCTTAAAAACAGGCTGGCCTGTCTAATGTTTGTGTCTGTGGCTTACATTTTGAGGTGCCATTTATATAAAAATGCAGAATTTTGGGCTTTTATGTAAGAGCTTGCCATACTGGGCCAGCAGTTCTTGTGGCAGTCATCCTGAGTAGTGGTTTCCTGCTTCAGGTGGGATGCAAGTTCCTTATTCGCCACAGTCCTGGTGCTTCCTGTTTTTCTCATACTGGCACCTTGCATTTGACACTCCTTCAGTGTAAAATTATTAAAACTAGTCAACTTCAAATTTGGCTTTGAATTTTGTGGTGGCCACATTTTTAAAAAAATATATTTTATTGATTTTTTACAGAGAGGAAGGGAGAAGGATAGAGAGTTAGAAACATCAATGAGAGAGAAGCATCAATCAGCTGCCTCCTGCACACTCCCTACTGGGGATGTGCCCGCAACCCAGGTACATGCCCTTGACCGGAATCGAACCTGGGACCCTTCAGTCCCCAGGCCGATGCTCTGTCCACTGAGCCAAACCAGCTAGGGCAGTGGTGGCCACATTTTAATAGAGAAATCCAAAGGGTTTTTTTGTTTTGTTTGTTTTTTGTTACTTCTCACCCGAGGATATTTTTTCCATTAATTTTTTAGAGAGAGTGGAAGGGAGGGGAAGACAGAAACATCGATGGGTGTGAGGCATAGATTGCCTCCCACAGGCACCCCAACAAGGGCCGGGGATGGAGCCTGCAACCGAGGTGCATGCTCTAGATTAGAATCAAACCCAGGACCCTTCGGTCCTGAGGCCAGTGCTCTATCCAGCTCTATCTATTGGGCAAAACCGGCTAGGGCCAAAGGTTTTTTAAAAGAGATGTTTGCATGTGAAAAAGTCCTGTTGTCTTAGCTTAGTCTCAGAATTACTTTTATGTGATTAGCATCATCAAGTCATAGTTCTTGATTGCCCAAGTGTTAGGTCTACATTTAAAACTTTTTCATTTCCACAAAATTAATCACTCTACTATCTTGCTTTTAATATAAAATATTCTTCATAAATTACAGATTGAATAATTTTTATTTCCAATATGGTTGTATTTGAATGTTTTTTAATTTTAAATTTTAAATGTTTTTCTCAGTTTTGCTCCATGGTGTCCTGCTTGTCAAAATCTTCAACCAGAATGGGAAAGTTTTGCTGAATGGGGAGAAGATCTTGAGATTAATGTTGCAAAAGTAGATGTTACAGAACAGCCAGGTACTGTAAGTCTGTGGGTAGTTTTGTTTCTTTGCATGTTGGGCTGATATGTTTATTCTGTTTTCCACATCACATGGTCTTAACTCTACCTTTCATTAGGTTTTCAAAACATAACTGTCTGCAGTTAGTTAAGCCGACTCACACACCTCCCTCATGGGGGCTTAGTGTGCAGTGGCTGCCAAACAGATTCCCTGGTTGTATACGCAGCTCATTCCTTTTATGTGTTGTTCTAAGGGACCTTGGGGACATCTTCCCCACATAACTGATTCTGATCCTTTTTTGCTTTGTATCTTAGGCCCCAGACTAGAATGTAAGATGCCTTTAAGAAGTCTAGAACACTGTGGTCTAGGTGGACATTGGCCAAGCCACCATTTTCATCCATAGCAAGTTTTGGGATAAGGAGCATGTGGTTGAGGTTCTTTGTAGAATCAAGGTCATATTTCTTAACAAGTGTCTGAATCTGTAATTGCATTCTGAATTTAATACCTGTGATTTGAAGACATGGGCTCTTAATTTTAAAGCCTGCATGGTTGTGGGGTCAGTATACTCCTGACTTGGCCCTCTGGACCAGTGGCAGGTCCTGCCCTTAGGGACACTCTTTTCTTAGTCCAGTCTCATTTTATCTGTTCTTGGTCATGGTTTACCTGGGTTCTTGACTCTGCTCCTATTCCATCTATCTATATAATAAAAGCCTAAGCAACCATTATGGTGGAATGACCAGAATAACTGGTTGCCATGATGTGCACTGACCACTAGTGGGCAGACACTCAACGCAGGAGCTTCCCCCTGGTGGTCAGTGCGCTCCCACAGGGGGAGCGCTGCTCAGCCAGAAGCCAGACTCATAGCTGGCAAGTGCAGCAGCGGTGGCAGGAACCTCTCCCGCCTCCGCGGTAGTGCTAAGTAGCAGTGAGCCGAGTGGTAAGGAACAGCGAGAAGGCGGGCAGTAAGGAGCAAGGGGTCCCAGACATCCCCCGAGGGGTCCCGGACTACGAGAGGGCACAGGCTGGGCTGAGGGACGCCCCTCCCCTTCCCCCCGTGCACAAATTTCATGCACGAGGCCTCTAGTTTGGTAATAGCTAATATTGAGCACTTGCCCACTAGAGGTAGTACTTCAAATGTTTTGCATTTATTATGTAATCCTCACACAATCTTGTGAGATAGGTAACATTCCACTTTGTAGATAAGAGAACTGAGGCATAGGGAGATTAATTCTCCGTTACATTAATGTTAATGCTTGATTAATAATAATGTTAGGTGCTATTATTATTATTGCCCATCTTATGATTCATAATGTTTTCCATTTTTAACAACGCCTTAAATTCAGCCTGTGTTTTCTGAATGTCAAATGTAATTGGATTTGATTTTAGACCTTTATAATATAGACCAGTGGTTGCCAACTTTTCAGACCTTGCGGACTACTGGTTGGCAACCACTGATCCAAAGGTTTCACTTTTTAATTGATAATATGTTTTTTGAAGTTGCTGTAAGTAAATAGGATTTTTTTATTGTTTATGTTATAAAACAACTACTTTTAGGTATAATTTAATATTTTTTTCCTTATTAGTATTTAAATCAGAATCATCTTTTAAGTAGCTAGTGATTGGCCCATATTAAACCTACTTTGTGTTCTTCCTTGTATTTATTTCTAATCTTTATATTTGCAGGACTGAGTGGACGATTTATCATAACTGCTCTTCCTACTGTTTATCAGTAAGTATTTAAAGATTTGGTAGTTATGGAGAAGGAGGCATCATAGTATAATCAGAATAGTAGGCCTCTGGCCTATATCATGTTTAAAGAACATTATATTCATTAAGTATTTAGAAGGCTTATTAACCGCTAGTGCCATCCTAGGTGCTGTGAGATAGATGAACAATATATGAAGCAGTCCCTGATCTCGGAGATTTGTAATTGTTTTCGAAGGTGATGTCCACATGAAATGGTTTGGTACTCTTCAGCATAGTTAAGTGTTTTTGAGCTCAGAGTTGTGGTAGGTCCTGAAGGAAGTTTGGTAAGGGAAAAATCACTGGGCTGGAGTGGTTCATGGAGATTATGGAGTTGAAATGCAACTTTGGAGGTAGAATTTTCAAAAGTTCAGAGTAAGCATTCTATCCTGAGTGTAGTCTCATAAGTATTCATAAGTAGGAATGTGATATGTTAAAAAATTAGCTAGAATGTGCTATAGCTCAACCTTGGGAAAATAGTTGGGTGTTAAGTCAGAATGAATAAGATTATGTAGTCTTCAGTATCACGTCTTTTAGTTTGACTTTATATTCTAAGTGGGGGATAAGAAATCTCAAATCTGTGTACCTGCCCTGTACCTTAATACTCATCTAACTGGTGGATTGAATGCCAGGAGGTACCACTCTCCTCATTTAAAGTTATGAAAATAAGTTGACAGTTCTTTTTGTGTCTATATTTTGCTTTTCTTTGTTGTCTTTCTATGTTTATATCTGTTTACCTGTGCCTTTTTTATTCTTCCCTGCTCCCTTTGTATCTTTAAATGTCTATTCTCTTATCTCTGTAAGTCAGTGATGGCGAACCTTTTGAGCTCGGCGTGTCAGCATTTTGAAAAACCCTAACTTAACTCTGGTGCCATGTCACATATAGAAAAATTTTGATATTTGCAACCATAGTAAGAAAAAGATTTAATTTTTGATATTTATTTTATATATTTAAATGCCATTTAACAAAGAAAAATCAACCAAAAAAATGAGTTCGCGTGTCAGAGGTGACATAGGTTCGCCATCACTGCTGTAAGTGCTTCTTTTCCTTTTCAATCAGTATGTTTCTCTACAGGCCCCTTATGTGGCTATAAATCAGACTTCCCCTTTTCACTTTTCAACACCCCCTAAACATACCTGGAATTTCTTGCCCATTTTCTTTTAGTCATGTTTATAGTGCCCGTTCCCCTAATTTCTGCCTTTTCAAATCATACTTGTCCTTCCAAAACAGCTCATATGCCATTTTTCCCCACAAAACTTTTGTATTTTGGCTTACTTGTGGTATTTGACTCTGGATGGATAAAGAATCCTTTAACCCTATTGTAGGTAATAGGGAACTATTGAAAGTTGTTGCATTTAAGTGATAAAAATAAAAGTGTTAATAAGTAGGATTAGACTAACTATTATTTAAGATAGTTTAAGAATGGTGGGAGTAGGGAAGGTATTTATGACCTTTTGACAGAACATACTAGTACATTGGGATTGGGAAGAACCAGGTAGATGTTAGGAAGAAGGCACAGCAGACTCTAAAATAGAATCACTGAAATAGGACGAAGGGAAACACTTAGCCAGATGCCTCCAGTGACTTAAGGTATGATGCCTGAGATGATGTGATTATGACTGAAAGTACCAGAAAATTGCCTTAAATGCTTAACTTATAGCTTAACAATAACTGACAATAAGTATCAAACACTTTCTAACAACTTTTCATGTAATATGTGTTTTATACATAAGGCTTAAAAGTCATTTTCTGAGATTTCTCTACTTTGTATCCTATAACGACATTATTTTTCATAATTTTATTATTTGGAAGAAAAACAGTAACAGACTTAAGGCTTATGATTGTATAAAATATAACCTCATTGTTTAATTAAATTTTGGGCTAAGATATTGTGAGTTGATAAATAATGTAATTTGCTATTTGTGCATTGCTAATGACTTTGAATATTAGGATTAATTGTATAGTGAGATTAAAGAAATAGCAAAACAAATAAAAAGTTTATTTATTTGGTGCTGGTTAATATTTAATTCTGATCCTCTTCAGTTGTAAAGATGGTGAATTTAGGCGCTATCAGGGCCCAAGGACTAAAAAGGACTTCATAAACTTTATAAGTGAAAAAGAGTGGAAGAGTATTGAACCTGTTTCATCATGGTTTGGTCCAGGCTCTATTCTGTAAGTACAAGGGATTTTTTGTCTTACTTATTTGAGTTTTAATTAGAACAGAGAATTATATTTCATATAAATAAGACATACTTGGACTTCTTATGTGATATTTTTGATTTGACTCTTCTAAGTTAAACAGATCCTTTGATTCTTATCAAGTTAGACATTTTATAGCATTAAGTTGAAAGCCTTTTCAGGAATGTTTTAACTCTGTATATGTGGTCATTTGTATCATCAAAAGCTAAGTAATCCTAAGAGTGTGAACAACGTAATGGGTAAAGCTATCATTTGAGCTTAATATTTGAATGAGAACCATACTTGTGCTAACCTTTAGATTTTAGTTCTTGATTTAATGTGATTGAATTATTCCGCTTGTCTGATAACTTTTTGTTTGAATAGATGGATAAATAATAACCCTAATATCATGACTGATTACTGAGCTTTACATATAACCAGAGAGTAGCAGTTTGTTATGGAGCAGTAAGCATTGGAAAAAGCATGCATATTTCATTCTAGTCATTGGGGGCAATGCCTTATGGGTCATTTGAGAGACTTCCAGGAATATTGAGTTTTGTTGAAGTCACCATGGGCTGACTTATCCTGGTGTGACTAAGCTATCTCTTCCTTGTCCTCTTAACCACACATGCTGTTGGAATATGGAACATTGGGGCACCAATTGTATAAGAGATAAAAAAAAATGGATTCTGGATTCTGGGAGTGGGGGAAAGATCAGTCCCTAAACATTATTTTGAAATAGAAGTTATCTTTTTCATCTTTCTCTTAAACCTCTCCTGTGAAAAATTTCTGAATTGATTTGTCAGAATTCCCATACTGAACCATCATGTCCAACCCAATTAAGGGACCTAGCATTTGTGATAGAGTCTAATTAGTTCAAACTATAGTGAGGCTATACAGTGCTCTATGTTTCAATCCCTCGTTCCTCTTCCCATTTCGCATTTTAAACAAAAGCAACAAGATTAAAGTACCTTTCTATGTTGAACTGAAAATGTAACTAATTTTATTATTTTTTTAAAGAATAGTTTATTGATTATTAGAGAGAGAGGAAGAGCGAGGGGGAGAATCATCGATGTAAGAGTGTGTAGCATTGATTGGCTGCCTACTGGAGATTGAGCACCCAACCCGGGCATGTGCCCTGACCAGGAATCGAACCAGCAACCTTTTGGTGCAGGGATGATATCCAACCAACTGAGCTACACTGGCTAGGGTGATTTTGTTCTTTTGAAATTTCATAAATGAATCTTCTTACCCTTTTGGTAGAAGAAGAGGGTTGCTTCTAAGTCTCTTTTGAATCCTTAGGGCAGCAGCCCATACCTTTTTTTTATTGGTAGACTGAATAAGGGCACTCACAATGAGTGTCAGCTCAGCAGGTTCACTTACCCAATGATTGGCAGTTGAATCAGGTCATCCTGCATATAGGAACTTTGGCTTATGTATGAATTGGTTTATGTGTTGGCGGCAAACAACATAAGCCCTTATTTTTGGAGCATGCCTTTTTCTAACTGTCCATGTGGGTTTCATTATGTGAAATAATCATTAGTTTTACTTATATGATGATTTAGCACATCTTTTCTATATAGTTATTTTATATATCATTAAACTATCTCAAATTAATGCTATTGTAAGTTTTATTTAATGTTAATATGGAAGGGGGATAAACTTCAAGTGGGGGGATCCTTCCGCTCAGTTAGTGCCCCTAGTTCTTCCTTCGGGCTCTGTTCATGAAGGGATTCTCTGCTTATTTGGAGCCATTTGCTTTTCACTATGCCTAACTTTAACTGATTGGTTCCCTAGAGCTTGTAATCTGTTACTCAGAGTACATTGGAGAAGTCATCAGATGAAAGGTGAAATATTAATGTCAAAGCAATAGGAAAAAATGAAAGAATAGCCATTAAGTGTTTTATTTATGAGAACATCACATAGTGGCAACAATTTTCAGAAACTTAATTTTCATTAGTAAGTCTAATTATTACAGTCTTGAAATTAGTACTGCAGGACTAATCTTGATGAACACCAGCAATAATCTAGCCTGCTGGGAAATTAGAGTAAAAATAGAAGATATACACACATATTGTACTTCAAAGATGTACTAGGTGTACTGGTTAATAATGTGGATTTTGTAATCAAAGAAAACACAATAATTTCAAGAGAAACATCAACAGAGCTTTATTCAAAGTAATGTCCATCTCTAGTTACACATTTCCACCATCTTTAGGTAATCTGTGGGTACCGTCCCAATAGAACTTTCCTTGTTTTGAGGCAAACCATTCAGGGACCCAGTTTTCCACTTCTCCGTACATTTTGAAGTGCTGCTCAGAAAGTGCGTGTGCCATCGATCAAAACAAGTGGTAATCTGAGGAAGCAAGGTCTGGTGAATACAGGGAGTGGGTTAATACTTCCCAGGCAAGATCTTTTAACATGTCTTTAACTGGTTTTGAAGTGTGTGATGGTGCGTCATCATGAAGCAAAATTACGTTGCCGTGTCTTCTGGCACATTCTGGTAGTTTCACAATCAAAGCGTGGTTCAAATTGATTATTTGTTGTCGGTAGTGATCATTAATGGTTTCACCTGGTTTTAGAAGCTCATAATACACCACACCTTCCTGATCCCACCAAACGCAGAGCATTGTCTTCTTTCTGAAGCGATTTGGCTTTGCAGTCCATGTTTTGTTTGGTTAACTTGGATCAACCCATGATTTTGTGCATTTGGGATTCTCAAAATAAATCCACTTTTCATCGCCAGTCACAATTTGATGCAAAAAAAGACTTTCGTGCCGTTGAAGGAACATTTTACTGATGACTTTTCATTTTTTCATTTGTCTTTTGTTCAGTTGATGTGGCACCCATTTTCCTTCCTTTAAAATCTTTCCCATTGTTTGTAAACAATTGGAAATTGTTTGCTGAGCAACGTTTAATCTTTTTGCAAGTTGTTTTTGAGTTTGACATGCATCTTCATCCAATAATGCTTGTAATTGTTGGTCTTCAAACTTTTTTGGTTGACCTGGACACTCTTTATCTTTCACATCGAAATCATCACTTTTAAAGCATTTAAATCAGCCTTCACAAGTATCTTGAGATGGAGCATAAGCTTCCTGAAGTATACAATAACTTTCTGCAGTACTTTTCTACAAAATAAAGTAATGAATTAAAACTTCCCGCAAATGCTCTTTTTTTGGCATGAAATTCGACATTTTTTTAAATATACTTTATTGATTTTTTACAGAGAGGAAGGGAGAAGGATAGAGAGTTAGAAACATGGATGAGGGTGAAACATCGATCAGCTGCCTCCTGCACACCCCCTACTGGGGATGTGCCCACAACCAAGGTACATGCCCTTGATCGGAATTGAACCTGGGATCCTTCAGTCCGCAGGCCGACCCTCTATCCACAGAGCCAAACTGGTTAGGACGAAATTCGACATTTTTAAGCTTAAAAATATCTATGATGTTAACACCTTCAGCAAATTTGACATATGAAGTTTTGAAGCTTACTGTCAATACAACAAAATAGCATACATATCAAATCGCATATATATCAACATGTGTAACTCCATCTATTGAAAAAAATCTGCATTAACTGGTACACCTAGTATGTCTTTTTTTTTTTTTTTTAAATCTGTTACAGCGGGAGCAGATGTATATCTTACTGGGTTTTTTAATCATCTTGCTTTTATTTTAGGATGAGTAGTATGTCAGCACTCTTTCAGCTATCTATGTGGATCAGGGTATGAGCTAAAATTTTATTTCTATGTTAAACATTTTTGACATATGCTTTTTAAATGACCAGGTTTTTAGGTTGTTTTGTTTTTCTTTTAATTTTAGACTTGCCATAACTATTTAATTGAGGACCTTGGATTACCGGTATGGGGATCATACACAGTTTTTGCTTTAGCAACTCTGCTTTCAGGACTATTATTAGGACTCGTAAGTACTTTATTTTTAGAGTACTAGGAAGAAAAATATCATAAAATTTGATAATTTTATATAGTTGTACTAGCTTTTTCATATATTATATATTTGGATTTCTTATGTTTGTTTTTGCAGTGTATGATATTTTTGGCAGATTGCCTTTGTCCTTCAAGAAGACACAGACCACAGCCATACCCTTCCAGTAAGAATATTTTTATTTTGTTTTATTCTTTTGGATTCTTTTATTACTTACTTATTTATTCATTTTTAAAATTTATTTTTTTATTACAGTTGACAAATAGGCTACATGATTTGAGCTGTTTTTCAGTCTGTGTGTTTGGCTTAGATTTCGAGTTGCTAGGGAAATACCCAACTCAGTCGAGCTTTAAGCAAAATAGGAATTTATTGGTTTATGTAGCAAGGAAATCTGAGGGCAGAGTTGATTGGATCCTAGGGCTCAGATGTTAGCATGTTATGTTTCTGAATTGCTCAGTTTTCCTTGTCTTTGCTCCATTTTTGGCTCTTTTCAGTCCTTAGTATAAAATGATTATTGCACACAATCGCAGAAAAATAAGGAAATATACCTTTTCCCTACCCCCATCTTTTGGAAAATTCCTGGTGCACTCCACTTGTGTAAAGGGCTCACTTGCAATAGTCACTGTAAACCAGGGCTTTTCAACCTTGATACTATTGCCCTTTTAGGCTGCATAATTTTTAAGTATGACGGGCTGTCTTTTGTATGCTGTTGGATATTTAGCATCCTGTTGGTCTCCAATAGCACCACCTCTCAATTTGACAATCAAAAATATCTCCAGACATTGCTAAATTTTTCTTGGGGCAAAATCACCCCTGGTGGAGAACCACTGCTGTAAACTGCAGTGCTCACTATAACTACAAGAGATGTGGTATAGGGAAGAGGCTATTGACCAAACAAGAAGAGGGATACCAGACAGACAAAGGAACAGATTGTCCACTATGTGGTAATTTCTCTCCATAGTTTTCTGATTTATGCTCTGTTCCTGTATTTTTCCCCCTCCATTCTGGATTGATTGCTCAGGATTAGGGGCAATCTAGGAACACTGAAGAGTGTAAAGCTCATTGACCCAATTCTGTGTTTTGATGTCATTTTAACATGGTGTGTTCTAAGTTTAAGTTAACTAGCAACTGGCCTTATTAAAAAAAGTAAAAAGAGTATATATGTATATATTTAAAAATTAAAATTAGCACATTTTATTGTTTATAATTATATATATGTGTATGTATGTATATATGTGTGTGTGTGTGTGTGTGTGTGTGTGTGTATGCATGCCTAATGTGCAGTGTCCCCTTGGGAGTTTGACCGACTGGGAATTCGATCACTCGCTATGATGTGCGCTGACCACCAGGGGGTGGTGCAGAATGAAGGGAGGCCCTGGCCGACAGCCGCTGGGGACCCTACCTGTGCACGAATTTCATGTACTGGGCCTCTAGTACCTTTATAAAAGTACATGTGGCATAGAGAGAGGATCACATTTATGAAAACACTTTAAAAAAATGGGTAGGAATATAACCTTCAACTGTAAATGTTTGATTGCTGTTCACTTGAGAACTGAAACAAGGGTAGTGCTGAAGTTTGTTTCAGTGTACTTATTACTTAAAAGATTTAATAGCAAATTAATATAAGATAGTTATATTTCATATAGTATATTTTCTTAAAACATCCATATTTACAGTGTTAATTTTAATTCATTAATTTCAGTTTATAAATAGGTAATAATAGTGAATTTGGTAAGTAAAATGGATCTGGCAAACCAACTTTTATTTTTACGCTACCTCTTAATAACTGTTTCCTTGTGGAAATCAAACTTACGATTGATAAATAAATGCCAAAACAGTTTATGGTATATGAATTGTGTCTTGATTTTACACTAATGTAAATCTAATACATCAACAAAAAACATTTTTTGGTCTTTATCTTTAAGAAAAATTATTACCAGAATCTTCTCAACCTTTGAGAAAAGTCGAGGAGGAACACGAAGCTGATGACGAAGATGTTTCAGAAGAAGAAGCTGAAAGGAAAGAAGGAACAAACAAAGACTTTACGCAGAGTGCAATAAGACAACGCTCTGTGGGTCCTTCATTGGCCACAGATAAATCCTAGTTAATTTTTTTGACTATCAATATGATTTGGACATAAACAGATGAATCATTTCTTTTGGTTTGAAGTGAACTGTAATTTTGTACACTGGAGGATTCAGTCTATATTGTCATTAGATTGAAAGGTCTGCCTTCACAAAATAAAAGATAGCACTGTGTAAAAAGTTTGAAATAGGATATAACAATAGTATGGTGGTTTAAACAGTTTTTTAATATTTTGAAGAATCTGGTGCCAAGCAATAAGATTTGTGTATGTTTGTTTAATAATAACCTTTCATAATAAAATTTTTCTGAGTTAAAAACTTACACTTCCCAAGTATTGCATTATTGAGGTATTTAAGGAGATTACAGAAAAAGATTTCTCATTTTATAAAGTTTTTCTGTTTCACTGTGTGAAAAAACACACACCATATTTCCCATAAATGGGAACTTTGTTCACTATCTCAAAAAATAGTATTTCAGTGACAACTCTGGTCCTTTTAGAAATATAGTTCAAAATTTCCTTGTATTTTTAGATTGCACAACTAATAAAAACTACCTTAATTACAGTTTTTTACACATAGATATGCTACTGGTTTAGGAAGTTTTCATAAGTCCATGGTGTTGTCTTGATTCCTATAAGGTTGGTTGCTGTTTCTGTTCCTGTGATCAGTGTCTTTTCTTACCATGCCATGGGCTACATTTTTCATTTTCCAAATTGGATAGTATCCTGGAAATATTTTTCATGTTTTAATAAATAGTATTTTATTTTGTTGTTGCAAACAAGTTTACTGAGGGCTGTTTACAGTTGAAGAGTTGGCCCAGCCACTATGGCGCAGGGATTGAGCATTGACTTATGAACCAGGAGGTCATGGTTTGATTCCTGGTCAGGGCACATTTCTGAGTTGCATATTCAATCCCCAGTTGGGGCATGCAGGAGGTAGGTGGTCAATGATTCTTATCATTGATATTTCTCTCCCTTCTCTGAAATCAATAAAAATATATTTTTTAAAAATTGAAGAGCTGCCTACTGATAAAACATTTTGGCCACTGATTAGATTTTTAAATCATTCTTATTGAACTTGGACTTGGACTTTTTTTTTAATGTGAAGGTGAACATTCCTGATTTTTATTTGATGTGGAAAAGCTATTTTACATTTTAAGAATTTATAGAAGCTTAATCTGATATAAAGTTAGCATTCTACTAAGGCAGTGATGGTGAACCTATGACACGTGTGTCAGAGGTGACACGCGAACTCATTTTTTTTGTTGATTTTTCTTTGTTAAATGGCATTTAAATACATAAAATAAATATCAAAAATATAAGTCTTTGTTTTACTATGGTTGCAAAGATCAAAAAATTTCTATATGTGACACAGCACCAGAGTTAAGTTAGGGTTTTTTAAAATGCTGACACTCTGAGCTCTTTTATAGTATTGGTTTTCAATATACATTTGTCCTCAAATACAGAAAATTCTTAAATGATTTTGCAAAGTCGTATCGTTTTAAAATGTTTTTATGTGTTTGAGAAGACATACTTTGTATTCTATACTTTCTATTGTGTGATGTTTCATAGGTGGGAATCATCAGGATGGGACATTTAATATATTTTTACTCTTTAAAGAGTTAGAACACAGCAAAAATGAGGTTAGTGTGGGGTGGCAATAGAGAACTGTATTGGCTTTGAGAAGGGGGAAAAACTATTCAGGATGAATCACCTGTCTATTATGTAATAGATGATTTCTGTAATGTCCCCTCTCATCTAGTTTCTTCCTCTGTGTTGGTTCATCAGACTTACAGTTTCATAATGTACAACAGTTATCTTTAAATGCCTCTCCTGTAGAATATTAAGTATTCTACCACTGAAGAGCTTGGATGTGTAGTAATTTTGTGATGCTTTAGAAAAATATTCTAAGCACAAAATAAACTTTTCTAAGACTTCACTAAAGCTAAAGACGTGTGATTTCTAGCTGCATATTTAAAAATGCTTAATTTGTATTTAACAGTGTTCAAATGAATAGTTGTGTCACTATGTACTTGATACATGTAATCATACACATCTTTTTCTGTTACCTGAACAAATGATAGAGGAAAATAGTTCTCATTAATAAAGCATTCTATTTTCTAGTATACATAAAATTAACAAAATTTCAAGTTTTTAAGTAATTAGAAAATATATATACAGAAAATTAAAAGGCTGAATTGGTAGAGACTTGATATTTCAGAAAATCATCTTGCAGTTCTTAAGCACTCACTGTAGACATCTGCATAATCAATTTTGTTAGAGGCTCACAGAAATGATGTGGGATCATTTTACCTTTAGCAGACCCTTTTTGTTTCTATTGTTGGTTTATTTATTATGTATACTAGACATTCGTGCACTGGGGGAGGTCCCTCAGCCTGGCCTGTGCCCTCTCGCAGAGTGAGACCCCTCGGGGGATGTCTGCCTGCTGACTTAGGCCCTCTCCTAAGGGTCCTTAGCGCTGCTGCGGAGGTGGGAGAGGCTCCTGTTACCGCCACTCCACTCGCCATCCATGAGTCTGGCTTCTGGCTGAATGGCACTCCCCCTGTGGGAGTGCACTGACCACCAGGGGACAACTCCTGTGTTGGGTGTCTTCCTCCTGGTGGTCAGTGTGCATCATAGCAACTGGTCATTCTGCTGTTTGGTTGATTTGCATGTTAGAGTTTTATTATATAGAATAAATTGTTGACAGTCTTATCTTACAGATGTCTCCCATTTCCCCCCCTTTACTTCCACCCAGCCCCTATTTACCCCCCCACAAGTTCTTCACCACCCTATTGTCCCTGTCCATAGGCCATGCATATCTACTTATATAAAAACCCCGGGTGGTGTTCATCACAACCAAAACTGCGACCAAGCGGAAGGAAGTCAGCCCTACAGGGGTTGTCTTGGCAACAGCTGCACCCTCCCCGAGCTGTTTCCTGGAGCTGTTTCCTGTAAGGGCGGGGTTTGAGGCAGGAACCCACCCTGGGAGCGTGGAGGCAGATCTTTTTAAAGTATGCCATGCCAGCACGGCCAGGGGTGAACCTGAGTGGGGGCGGCTGAAAGGCTTAGAAAAGACATACAAGAGAATGAAAGCCTGGTCTCGGTGGGACACTGCTTCTCTGAGAGACAGCGACCACGCCCACAGCCATGCCTTTATTTTATAGCTGATGCCATGAGGCAAAGTAAGGGCATGACCAAGATGTTTACAACATTCTCCTGGGTTTCAGTCCTACTTAACTACATGCACCTGAACTCTATCAAGCCTACATCACTCAGGCACGTGGGGCCACGTGTTTGGACCATAGGTTCAAGCTTACAACTATAGCTGTTGGCTATAATTGTGCTGGGAGGGCTCTGCCCTCCAAGCTGGGACTTGCACATGGCACTGTGCCCTCTCATCAATCCAAGGCTTGAACCTGTCCAAAACACTGTAGCAGCTCCCCACAATAAAGTTTTAATTCTGTTTCTTTGTTACTTACGTTGTGGCCCCATCCCATAACAAAGAAACAAAGGAAAATTTCCCCATTGAATTTCTGAATAGTATTACTCCTTTGGGAATGCCATGTCATAAATTAAAATTGAAAGTGGGAGCAATCATCATGCTATTGAGAAATCTCAATAGTAAATGGGGTCTTTGTAATGGTACCAGATTTATTATCAAAAGATTACGACCTAACATCAAAGCTGAAGTATTAACAGGATCTGCAGAAGGAGAGGCTGTTCTGATTCCAAGAATTAATTTTGTCCCCATCTGACACTGGCCTCCCATTTAAATTGATTCGACGATGGTTTCCCGCGATGCCAGCATTTGTGATGACTATTAATAAATCACAAGGACAAACTTTAGACAAAGTAGGCATATTCCTACCTGAACCCTTTTTTGCACATGGTCAGTTATATGTTGCTTTCTCTCGAGTTTGAAGAGCATGTGATGTTATAGTTAAAGTTCTAAGTACTTCATCACAAGGGAAATTAGTCAAGCACTCTGAAAGTGTTTTCACTCAATGTGGTATACAGGGAGATATTAGAATAAGTTTAATTACTTTATCAGTCATTGTTTGCATCACTGTTGTTTTTACATCATGTTTTGTTTTCATATCATGTTTTTGTCATTTTTATATCATGCCTCTGTTATATTCTTTGTTACTGTTTATTAATTAATTTATATATTATTTTCATATACATTTTACTAATTTCCTTTCATCTCTCACACTTCTATTATAGAGAAAGGGCAAATAGCAATATTAAAATATCTCTGCTAATTCCCTTTTTAAAAAAAATATATTTTATTGATTTTTTTACAGAGAGGAAGGGAGAGGGATAGAGAGTTAGAAACATTGATGAGAGAGAAACATTGATCAGCTGCCTCCTGCACAACCCCTACTGGTATGTGCTCGCAACCAAGGTACATGCCCTTGACTGGAATTGAACCTGTGACCCTTGAGTCCACAGGCCGATGCTCTAGCCACTGAGCCAAACCAGTTAGGGCAACCAATTCTCTTAATGTGCACAAATTTTGTGCACTGGGCTACTAGTCTATATATATAAAAGCCTAAGTGACCATTATAACCGGTCGACCAGTCGCTATGACATGCACTGACCACCAAGGGGCAGACACTCAATGCAGAAACTGCTCCCTGGTGGTCAGTGCACTCCCGCAGGGGGAGCACTGCTCAACCAGAAGCCGGGCTCATGAGTGGCGAGCGCAGCTGCGGTGCCTGGAGTCTCTCCTGACTCCGCTGCAGCACTACCGAGCGGCGGTGGCAGGCACAGCGGGCCAGAATGAGCACAAGTAGCGTGGTGCTTGGCCCCAGCTCAGGCTCCTCCCTGGCCACCTGCTGCTTGGCGCACTGCTACATCCCCTGAGGGTTCCCGGATTGCAAGAGGGCGCATGCCAGGCTGAGGGGACCCTCCCCCCACCCCATGCATAAATAGGTGCACCGGGCCTCTAGTAAGTATATAAGTTCTTTGGTTTCTCTCTCCTCATTCCCCCACTCCCACATCGAGGTATGTCAGTCAGTCTGTTACATGCTTCCATACTTTGGGTCTTATTTTGTTGGTCAATTCATTTTGTTCATTAGATTCCACAAATACGTGAGATCATGTGATATTTGTCTTTCTCAGATTGGCTTATTTCACTTAGCATAATAGTCTTTAGGTCCATCCATGCTTTCCCAAAGGATCCTGCTTTTTTACAGATGCATAGTATTCCATCATGTAAATGTCCCACAGCTTTTTATCCCTTCGTCTACTGATGGATACTTGGGCTGTTGTCAAATCCATACTGTTTCCCATAGTGGTTGCATTAATCTGCATTCCCACCAGCAGTGAACTAGTGTTCCTTTTTCTCCTCATCCCCATCAGCACTTGTTTGTTGATTCATTGATGATAGTCATTGTGACAGGTGTGAAGTGGTATCTCATTGTGGTTTTAATTGGCATTTCTTTGATGATTAGTGTCTGAGCATTTTTTCATATGTCTCTTAATCATTTGTATGTTCTCTTTGGAGAAGTGTCTATTTGGGGCCTCTGCCCATTTTTTAATTGCATGGATTGTCTTCCTTTTGTTGAGCTGAATAAGTACTTTATATATTTTGAAGATTAACCTCTTATTAGATGTATCATTGGCAAATATGTTCTCCCATGTATTGGGTTACCTTTTCATTTTGATGGTTTCTTTTACTGTGCAGATGCTTTTTATTTTGACGTAGTCCCATTTATTTATTTTTTCTTTTATTGCTCTTGGCCTAGGAGGTGTATTGGCAAAAATTGTGCTATGTGAAATGTCTGAGATTTTACTGCCTATGTTTTCTTCTAGAATTTTTATGGTTTCCTGGCTTACATTTAAGTCTTTTATCCATTTTGAGTTTATTTTTGTGTATAGGGTAAGTTGGTGGTCTAGTTTCATCTTTTTGCATGTGTCTGCCCAGTTTTCCCAGTACCATTTGTTGAAGAGACTGTCTTTACTTCATTGTATGTTCTTGCCTCCTTTATGAAATATTAATTGACTGTAATGGTGTGGGTCAATTTCTGGGGTCTCCATTCTGTTCCACTGGACTATATGCCTGTTCTTGTGCCAGTACCAGGCTGTTTTGATTATAATAGCTTTGTAGTATAGTTTGATATCCAATATTGTGATCCCTCCAGCTTTGTTCTTCTTTCTCACTAATGCTGCAGCTATTCTAGGTCTTTTATGGTTCCATATAAATTTTCGGAAAATTTGTCCTAGTTCTGTGAAGTATGCTGTTAGTATTTTAATAGGGATTGCGTTGAATCTAAAGATTGCTTTGGGTAATATGGACATTTTAATGATCTTAATTCTTACAATCCATGAACAAGGTATATGCTTCCTTGTTTGTATCTTTCTCTATTTCTTTTTTCAATGTCCTATAGTTTTCCAAATACATGTTTTTTACCTCCTTGATTAAGTTTATTCCTAGGTATCTTATTTTTTGTTGTTAAAATGGTAAATGAGATTGCTTTTCTAGTTTCTCTTCCTGAGAGTTGATTATTGGTGTATAAAAATGCCATTGATTTCTGGATGTTGATTTTATATCCTGCTACCTTGCCAAATTCATTTTTAAAGTCTAGTAGTTTCTTGGTAGAGTCTTTCTTTGTACAATATCACGTCATCTGTAAATAATGACAGCATTACTTCCTCATTTTCAATTTGGATGCCTTTTATCTCTTCTTGTCTGATTGCTGGGGCTAGGACTTCCAGTACAATGTTGAAAGTGGACATCAAGAGTGGTGAAAGTGGACATCCTTGTCTTGTTCCTGTTGAGGGAAACACTTAGATTTTGCCCATTTAGTTTGATATTGGCCTTAGGTTTGTCATATATGGCCTTTATTATATTGAGGTATGATCTCTCTATTCTCCCTTTACTGAGAGGTTTTGTCAAAAAAGGGTGCTGAATTTTGTTGAATGCTTTTTCTG